AGGAATCATTGTGTTTTTGTTATCTTAGAATGAGAAGTCCGCCATGTTTCTACAGTAGCCCAGAACAGACAAACCAAACACTGGAGCTAGATAGGGTCTTTTGCATTTTCTGCGGCCACTGGATATTCTCCTACACGCTTGGAAGGTGAGCAGTATTCAGTTCACAGCTAGATGCCACTAAATCCTTCACAATGGTCCTTTGAATCTTCAGATCCAGTCACTGCCAATAATTCTCCTAAAGATTTTTTAAGATGTTTGATATTCGTGTGAAGTGACTTAAAAGATCGTGCTAAATGACTTGGCTTTACCTGAAGTCAGCTTTGTTTTACAAAGTTCACTCGCCTCCAATTCCCTCCAAAGTCGTACACTCCTCTCCCTCCAACATCTCCCCAGACCCTGTGCTTTTTTACTCCTTTTTTGGCCTTTTCTGGCCTTTTCAGCACAAATGTCACTGCATATAAACAAACCAAGTGGCTGGTTGCCGACCATGTTTGTTTTGGTAGAAGAACATAGTTGGCGTTCTCGCGGGATTTGCAGGGTCATCTACCTCCAGAACTCCAGTCATTACTGAGCAGTGGTTCAGTGGGTTGTATGGTTGTGAGGTTTATGCTCCTTCCTGACCGACTAAAGACAACGATTCATCGATTAGTTGTCAACTATTAAATTAATCGGCACCTATTTTGATAAATTAATTGTTTTTATAGTAGTTTAAAGAAAACCAATTACACTGATTTTAGCTTCTTCAATGTGAATATTTTCTGGTTTCGTTCATCCTCTGTGACAGTAAACTGAATATCTATCTATCTGGGTTGTGGACGAAATAAGACATTTGAGGACGTCACCTTGGGCTTTTGGAGACACTGATCAACATTATCTGACTTTTTTTGGACCAAACAACTAATTAAGAAAATGATCTACACATGAATCGATATTTGTAGCCCTACTAAAGAGTAAAAAATCTGTGCAAGTTGGAATCAATCTTTATGTGTGGACTGTCCAGTCTCTGTAGATCTGTCCTATGCAAGGGACTGTTGGTTTTACAGAACAAGACATGCAATGTTTTGCCTTTTTATAGGTGAAACGCTTAATCTTGAAAATGATCTGTGGATTTGTCCATAATAAAAATAGTCATTTAATAGTTACAGCCCTACTTTGAAGCGAGTCTACATGATCTGATCTCACGTACACAGGACTGGACCCACGCCGAATGCTGGACAATCCTAAAGTCATTAGAAGGCGGGATATGTACTTTACTTCCCCGATCCCCTTAATTTGGAAGGCAGCACTTTCCTCCATGACTCATTATGATGTCGGCCTGCTGTTTACATGCTAGGCTCCCATTCAGAACTTAATCACCATTTCCTTCCAAATAGGTCACAGTCAAAACAGCCGGTCTGAGGACCAGATGAAGGGATTATCCTTGAAAAATGGCAACCCTCGGCCGTCCGAGATCCCCATGCATGTTCCAATTAAATTCTGTATCCCAGCAGGTGGGTTCTTCTCTGGGAGGGTGCTGCATTTTACTGCATGCCTACGACATGGGAAAGGGTGTGTGTCCAAGTGTGTGTGCCAAGGGGAGAAGGGCTAGTAGAGAAGGCAGGAAAAAACCTTGAGTGACCTATTTCTACATAGGCTGACCGAGCAGCCCTGTTGCTAGGAAAAGCCAGAGCCAAGTATCACATTGAAAGGGCCTTAAAATTAAATTGAGTGGAATTTAAAAACAGTAGCAATATGGATACTAACTGCACCCTGTCTGGCTACACAGCCAATTTTATATCACTTCACAAGCATCAGAGGAAAACAAAGCTCCTGTGTGAACAATAAAGTGATTCCATGTTCAAATAAAACTGCCATAAACAGGATGTCTGCTATTTAGGAGCATTTTAAGGTCAAATAAACAAGTTTTAGTCAAAGGAAGCAACACATAAGAGGCCTTTTTAAAATGGTAAATGGTTAAAACTATAATAATATTTTTAGGGGGGCTTATATCCTTATTCTAGTGTGTCTACCTCCCTTAAGATTAATCAGTGACAATGAGACAAATGGGAAGTAATAAAAAGTAATAAATGCAAAGTTATGCAGCTAATTATTATTAATAATATTCTGATTATTTTTATTATCCATAATACTTTTTCTGATTTATTGATTAATAGTTCTAGGTCTATAAAATAATGTAGGGTAGCAAATATTTTAGTAGTTTTTTTGTATTTTAGTATCGATCTATGCATTATTTACTTGATTTAGTCTATAAAATGTCAGAAAATACTTAATTATTATGTCTTAAATCTAAGGTCTTGAAAAGATATTCTACTTAAAATGATATTAAATAGTGCATCAGATCCTCGCACTGGAGAAGCTGAAACCAGCACATGTTTTGGGTTTTAGATTAAACTAAATTTTGACATGAATCAAATAATCAACTAATCGTTTCAGCTCAAATAAACAGTCAGAAAAGTCTCCAGAGACCGGGGTGACATATTCATTATTGGTTGCTGGTTTTGTCCGACCAACAGCTGAAACCCAAAGATATTAAATGTACTTTCATTTATGATAAAGAAAACTAGCAAATTCGCATTTGGACCAGCCCGACCCAAACCTGACTTTCCACTTCAAATAAATGAATAAATAAAATGTATTGCAAAACAAATAAATAACACATTTACTCTTAAAAAATCATATATACTTAAAAATAAAACAAAATTCAGTCCAAGCCCGACCTGGAGCAGTTGTTTGTTTTTATAGCATTTTTGTCTGAAAGTTGACAGAAATGAATCATCAATTTTGAAAACAGTTTCCGAACAATTCTCGGTTGAACGATTAATCATCTCAACTCCACTTGAGTTGTTTGATCAACAGTCCAACACCCAGATATATTCCATTTGTTACAATAATACAGGCAGCATTTTGGCAGCAAGCCTACCTTCCAGACTGAAGTCGAGCAGCACATACTCGTACACAGTATCCGTTTTGGACTCCACTTGTGGTCTCTTCAAGGTGGAGTAGATCTTCCCGGGGCTGCTGTCCTCCGGGTCTTCCAGTTTCCGCAAGCCGCAGCCCATGGCCTCCGAGGCGGGGACAGCCGCTCGCTCAGCGCGGTGGGAGCACCGGAGGAGCCGCAGACAGACTGAGCTTCTCTTGTGCTTTCAACTTTAACGGGACCTCTCCATCCCTCCTCCGTCCTCCCCGGTAATCCCTCCGAGAGCTCACAGAGAAGCAGCGGCGAAGGTGGAACAACGGTTTCCGAGGAGAGGAGCGCGGTGGACGGTTGTTAAGTGAAGCGCTTGTTTCTTGAAAAAGTGTCCCGCTGGTGTGTCCGCAGGTCTGAAGCGTGGAGAGGAGGAGCGCGCTCTCCCTGGAAACAAAGTTTCCTCCACAATCAAGCTAGCAGGGATGATACAACTTCCTGTCGGAATGTCAAAATAAGATACTGAAATAAAAAACGAATCTAACAGAATATTCGTCCCGTATTCAATGTTTCAGCCCAGTGTTTTGTTCACTTTTTGTGTTTTTAGTTATGTTTTTTGTTATTTGTACAGACTTATGATCAGTATCAGAACTATTTGTGACTTCCTCTTTAGAGCTGAAAATAAAAAGTCAATAAATCAATTAGTTGACAGAAAATTGATCAAAAACAATTAACTGCTGAAGTATTTTTTATTCTTAGTGCCAAATATTGACTGATTCACATACAATGACATTTTTTTTTTTTTTAATCAATTGTCTTATGTTGATAAGATTAGGTTTATCTGTTCAACAAAAGAAAATGTTCTTAATTAATTAATTAGCCTACTAATAGGCTACTCTTATCAACTATGCCTGGCGCCCATAATTACCATTATCCTGTTTAATTTACACTTTTATTTTGAAGTCACATTGGTTTAACGTTCAGTCTGAAAGCAAGTAACAGCTGCTCCGTTGATGTGAGGTTTCAGGGGAGAAAGTTACAAGAGACAATATAATCAACAGAATCCCTTGTGTTCGGGAATTTATGTACTTAAAGACAGATGTACTAACAGAGGAGATCAGTGAGGAAAATTAAGCTTGAAAACTTCTTGAATTACAGATCTGGCAGACAGACCATGCACAAGGCGGGACAGCAGTGGTGGGAGGAACAGGAGAGGAGCATCATGGGTCATCTGGAAGCTGTTGCTGCCACCATGAATACCTCATCGCTTAATGATGATTCTCTTCTGTTTGTAGTCATGCTAGCAGCATTGCTTTTATGACTGTATTGCTGGTCGGTCCAGCACTTCGGTCCAGACTAAACATCTCAACAACAGCCTATTGGTTGGATTGAAATGAAATTTGACATTCATGTTCCCCTCAGGATGAACTGTCATAATTTTGTCTAACAAAACGACAAATCCTAAAGTTCTTAATCAATTATGTAACTGAAAATATATTGAATAGAAGCCACTTCCACTTATTTCACATAAACACAACTTTTTATGAAGGTTTTATTTATGTATCCTGCTCAGTCGTCTGAACTCAACTGCTTGCTTGTGCAACGTGTCCACAGGATCAGTCATTTCCACGCCTGCCATTCATTGTCAATGCGATGTATTCTGGTAGTGCTGCGTGTGTTTTGAAAGATGGGCCGTCATGTTGGCTGCTCTTTATTTGCATAAAGTAGAGGTCTGATGGTAAGTATCCATTGGAGCATTTTTCAATGTCATGGTCATGCCGCTTTACCAGCATTGGATCTTTGTAGTCATTTTGAGCAACCAAAGTAAAAAAAAAAAAAAACTCCTACAACCACGCAAACATTTTCTGACTGCACCTAATTGGAGATTTCAAACCCGACCATCATGGTGGCTCGTTTAGAAACTTTCTCTGGAATTTACAAAAACTACCACCGGGCAACCACAGTTTAAACATTTTTTTGTTTCCAGAGGCGACGGGTAGCGCTGCTGGATGAGTGGATAATATACAAACTCAAAACACAGCGTTCGTCCAATCAGGTGCAGCCAGGAAGCGTCTGCACGGTTGTAGGATGGTGTAGCCTTTTGTTGGTCAATATGACTACAAGCATGCAATGCTAGGGATGATAATACAATGCCATAAATCATCTTTGGAATTTTTTTTTAAATATATTTACTTACCAATCAGAATCAGAATCAGAATCAGAAATACTTTAATAATCCCCGGGAGGAAATTACTTAATGTCCTATTTGCTAACATGGAGCCAGCTAACTTTATGATCTATACTGCAGTCAGGCACCAGGGTGTGATCATGATGTTTGGGCTTCACTTGAAGGACTGTCATGTCGTCCATCTTTGTATATGTCGATAATCAACATTTATTTGCACTGCATCTGCATCTGCATCTGAGAACTTTGTCCCTCTTACGTTCAGTGCATCTATGTGCTGTTTTTAGCTCAGAGTAATCAAGCTAGCAGCACAAAATGAGCAAATCTGTAGTTTCTTCAAGTATTAAAGTATTGGACTGCCCTGTTGCTTTAGTTAGCAAGCTAATGCTACATTGATGTGGTCTCCCCCTAAGTTGTAATGAGATCTGCGCCCTTGACTACTCAGAGCCAGCTCTGAATATGAACACTCACAAGAGGTGGAGCTGATTTCCCCAAAACTGCAGTTATATGCACTAATTTTCAAGCCAGTTTAGTAAATAAAATACCTAAAATCTGTGTATCATTTGGGAAAAAGATGATAGTTTCCATGAAAAATACCCTACTGTTGAGCTTACATCCTATTTTGTATCGAATTGTTCTCCAACTGTCTTCATCATTCTGTTTGATATTATTTTTAAGTAGCTAGGGTAGAAATTAGATTATTTTTGTTAAACTGGAATTCACAATGTTCAGCTTAATGTCCATAGTCCATAGAGGTGACACGACTGAATGAAACGAGACACACACAAGACAACAACCCACCATGACAATATAGGGCCTATAGATGGGGATATTTCCCCAGTAATGGAACTTTTGCTCAATTGAATTTTCCAGTCCAGTCAGAGAGGCTGAGGGAAAATGACACAAAAAGCCTAAAGGATTCGGGGCTTTTGAGCAAACATTCGGGGCTAGAGGCCAAGAAGCCACCACCCCCCCATCCCGCTCCACCACACTCATTGAGAACAATGATGCACTACAGTCTCACTAGTTCTCTGCCTGTCCCCTCCCCTGTACTGCTGCCATCTGCCCTCTCTTCCCTCCACTGACAGCAGTAGTGAGTAATTCAATCACTGACTGTTTTTCAGTGTGGTCACTGTAGACTGTGAGGATTTAATCTTCTGATTTACGGTTTGGTAACTTAAGCACTTCCTACTGCATTGCTCCTATGACTGTTCCCATGTTATCTAATGAATATATAATGACATCCGGACCCTCACTGAGGGGCCACAGGATATGTGGCATCAAGCAGTAAGGACGGGCCAGTGACCTTGCACACACACCTTAACACTGGCCTTTGACCTCTGTCACTCACTGATTTCCACTTAAGAGCATTAAGAGTACAGAGTTGAAGACTGATGCACAGCAGGCGGCACACCGTCTGCAGTCCCTCATTAGTGAGTTTAACAGCTACAACCAGATCCCAGGTCTTTCACACCGGAACTTCTCTGCAGGTTTACTTCATCAACACAAGAACTTGCAGTTGAGTCTATGGGCCTAATGCAGGAAGCAATATATATACGAACAAACATTGTCTAATTTTGTTTGTATCCACGGTTTTGTTCTTATTTTGTTAGTACCTATTAATTATTTTTGCTCTTCTCTAAGGAAAGACAAAATGTTGTCGAGGGCACTTGTACCAAGATAAGAAATAAAACCACAAATTGTTGTCTAATGCAAGATATGTTTTCCACTTGAGGGACATAAAAACTTTGAATACTGTGTACTATTACTATTACTATAAGTAATTATAATGATTGAATTATTAAATTTGTGGGGTAAAGAAATACTATTGGTCTATTGATCCCTAGTAAATGTATAAAAACCCTTGGATGATATTGTGTGAATCAGACTTTAAATGGCTCACATACTGCTATTAGATGCTTTGGCCATCTAGAATACAGACAAAATACAGA